TCATTACAAAAATCCTCGTGGTTTCGAACCACGGACCTTCTGCTTACGACGCAGGTGCCTTACCTCTAGACCAGCACAACGTCTTTGCTACTGCTTTCTGCGGTCCTCCTCATATTCTACGACTTGGTTTATAGCTGCAGGAAAATCGTATTTATTTATTCATTTTCCAATTTCTATTGACAAAAGACAGCGCGGTCTCGAACCCCGTACCTTCCCACAAAATATACAAATTTGTTACCTTCACCTTCCTCATAGAGTACGACTTGCTTCCTACATGCACAAATTTCTTAATTTTTTTTTCTCACAAAAATAATCATGTCTTCGAACACGTATCTTCTAAACCATATGCCAGTGCCTTACCAAAGGCCCACCATGGTTATGAAAACTATTCGCCTTCGTCTTCCACATTTCCAACCGCTTCGTTTCCACAAAATTCCTCTTTATTTCTTGCTTCGTTTCAAAGTCATTTTACGACTGACGGTTGGCCAGTCACTTTCTCTTAATTTAGAGCCCATTCAGACCCTATTGACCAGATCTTAGTCTTCAAGTAAGCTGCACTGTTTGGCCTCTAATAGTAATCCTTTCTGATGGTAAGACGGGTCTATCCCTTCTCACTTGTCACAGTCAATTACTTTCTCCATTTCGTCCTTCCTACTCTGAACTACATGTCACGACCTTTACAACTATACATATATACTGCACATGGCTTTATTGGCAATATTTATAAGCCACCTGTAAGTCCACAACAGATTCTACCTTATTTATATTAGCTCACGCTAGACCGGCAATTTAGTCGCCTCAACGATCATACACAGTGTAAGCTTTACCGCCGCAAATTTAAGCCTCGTATTTTGTCATGCTGCGCCTTATCCAGTATTCCGAACATTTGCATTTTCACGATCTTCTGTGGCTACTGGTTGCTGGCCGCTCTACGCCTTGGGATATTGGTGTTGTTGCGGAGAGCCTTGATTTCTAAGCGCTGCACTTTCGAAACGTGGGTATTTGCCGCAAATCCCAAGGCAACCATATGACACTGCAGACATAAATAATGCTCTGTGGACGGTACATTTCATCTTAGAGCTTAATCGCTTACTTTTCAATGTAGGACATGCTCTAATAAATGTTGTGAAAACATTGACTTCGATCATTTATGAATCTAATCCTCTTACTGACATATATACAGGTGTTGTACATGACTCACGAAAGGGTTCTTCGTCCGTTCAGTATGAGATGACACTCAACCGATCTAACTCTCTTGACATAAATTTTAATTTCTTTTGTTTCAGCGCTCACACTGCGTCTCAATCACATCCAGACCTCGCTGCAGCGTTCTGAGAACACCCTTCTTTGCTCTCAGTATCAGGATTGAATGTGGGTAGGACTATTTATGTAATTTCATTACCTATTTCATTTTCGTTACATTGTTATTCATGATTCTGTATTTCAGCATCCCGTTGCAATTGTTCAAATTAGCGTCCATTGTTTATCTTCCATCAAAATTGCAACACTTTTACATTCTACACTTCAACACTACATGTTTCGGCCCCAAATGGCCTTCTTCAGGTCTTTTTATGGTACAGATATTTTACTAAAACTGTGTTAAAAACTGCTACACTGTTTTGATTCGTGTTAAAATCACTCCCTGTAGTCTTCTTTTTAAGTAAAACGAGATAAAATCCTTTAAAAATTCTATTATTCTCTATTATTTCACTTCACGCAGGGTGTCATCATTTTCTTAAATGTATCAAGGTGTTTTTCTCGTCAGCTTTAGTAGTAAAGACAACACTACACGCTGTAGAGAAAGTACACACAAACCAGGAGCATATGGCAGTCAAATACTGAAAGTAGACCACAAACGTGAGGGTCAAGCTGCCGAGAAAAACACCTTGATACATTTACGAAAATGACGACACCCCGGGTGAGGTGAAATAATATGGAATAGAAATTTTAACGGATTTTATCTCGTTTTACTTAAAACGCATCAAAACAGTATAGCAGTTTTTAACACAGTTTGAGTAAAATATCTGTAACATAAAAACACCGGAAGATGACCGTTTGGGGCCGAAACGTATAGTGTTGAAGTGTAGAATGTAAAAGTGTTGCAAATTTGATGGAAGAGAAGCAATGGGCGCTAATTGTTATTCACTTTTGTTTTTATAGGTGTATTCGTTCTCTTACTTTTGCCATATAATCCTCCCTGTACTGAACTGGTGAACATGATCATAAGATTTTCAATAGTAACTGCATTTCTTTAAGATATATTATTAATTTTTGCTATATAATCGTATACAATACTGAACTGGAAGATGAATATATACCAGATTGTCAGTATTCATTACATTTTTTTGTAAGATATTTTACTTTTGCCATATAAACCTTGCGGCTGTTGACATGGCACATAAATAATAAAGAATTGAATTGAATTTAATTGAACTACTGAACTGGAATATTAATAGATAACAGATTTTCAGTATTCGTTACATTTTTATAAGATATGTTATTATTCTGCCCAGTACTGAACTGGTGAAGATGAATATATCAGATTTTCTTATATCATTAAATGCAATCTTAATCTTGTTGACAAGAGTGTATTTCACATTCTCGAATTCCATCTTTCTAATGAAAATAATAATAAGTGGGAACATGAGTACTGTTGCTTACAATACATGATTTATAGTACTTAAATGTAACCGAAATACTGTGTTCTGTATGGCTTTCAAGTGTAAGTTATGGGGAAATTGTGGGGTTTAATATTTGTATCTCTGATGGAAACAGAATTTTCTTTCAAGTTTCCCCACCTTCAGCTTTCCTAAATACAAGTATTCCATGTATGTTACAGCTCACAATGTTCAGTGCCCTTGGTTAAAGAGGTGTTTCATGTGAAAGAAAGGTTATGGCTTTCCAGGCACTGGTGAGAAACTATCTCCAGATAAATAATTTGCAACCTAATCTCTTGCACTCCAGAGCTGCAGAGGCTCTTATTCCGTTGTTATTTTTCTTTTTTAGAAATGGTGGGGGACCAAGTTTAATAGCACTTCAATCAAATCCAACCCAAAGGATATGGGTGAAGTGATATTGAACTTACTTATGGAGCAGAGCCCTCTTGAAAACCCTCCAATTGTGCAGCCACTCAAGAATTTTCCAACCTTTTATGGAACCCGAAGGTCATTACTGTGTTCACAAGAGCCCTCCACTGGTCCCTATCCTGAGCCAGATAAATCCAATCCATACCATGCCATCCTATCCCTCTAGGACACATTTTAATAATATCCAGCCACCTACACCTTGGTCTTCCCAGTAGTCTCTTTCCCTCTGGCTTTCCCACCAATATCCTATATGCATTCCTCGCCTCCCCAATTCGTGCTTCATGCCCTGTCCTATAGTGACTAGTAATAATGAACGCAGTTCAAAAATAGAAATAGTTTTGGGGAGAAACCTCTGCAGTAGAAGAGATCTGGTTGTAAAAGTATTTATTGCTATTCTAGCGAACAAAGGAATGGGGGGGGGGAGGACTTAAAATAATTGCTATGTTAGCATACCTTCTTACCGATTGTGCTATCGGCCATTTTAAATTTTGTTAACGTAGGATGCGTAGAGATGGCAGCAGCATTGCACCGTGGTGTAATGGGCGGCCATGTTGCCCATCAATAACATGGGAGTTTCACGTGGCTGTTCATAAGATCGGATGTGCCCGCTGCAGACGAATGAGAAGAGCTAGTAATCACAGCATGGATTTCCGTCATAAGGCTTATGCAGATAATGTTTACTGAGTATTTAACATCCATAACAAGAAAGGAGTCGTACATAGTCAGGCTTGGAGAACTGATAGAATTCCGATCACGTTCAATTTTTCCCTTTGGTTGCAGAAATTTAAACAATGTTGTAACGAATAGCAATTAGAAGATGCACTCATGGGGTTACTGATGATAACTTGAAATCTGAATGCAGTGTTCTGGACTACACTGTCTGATCATTTATCAATAAAGCTTCATGGTTGAGGTGGACCAAATATATAGCATGTAAGGGGAGGCAACATAAAGCATTGTGATTGGATAATCTCATAGAAGGAATTTCTTGTAAGACAAAGGAAGTGAATATTAAAATGACTTCTTCGGCAACAGATTAGGGGGGATATGAAGTTGACTGAAGCGACTCAGGGTAGGGTTCACTGTAGGGCCTTTGTTCCAATTGTGCTCTATCTTAGCTCCATAACAGCAGTGGATTTCATGACAAATAAACTATTATACGTATGGAAGCCCTTTACGATGGTAAGTACTGGAAATTTACAGCTCATTTCGCGGGTTTCCTTTCTTTGTAGGGCTTCATTGTTTTATTTTTTTGTAATGTATGTGACTTCGGCATTTAGCAATACACTATGTAGAATGTTAAAGGTTTTCAACGTTTTGGAAAATATTGCAGTTGCTGTCTTCAGGAGTTTTGTGACGAAACGTCGGAAAATCTTTAACTGCTACTTGGCGAATTACCGAAAGCCGCCGTCATAAGAAGCTCCAGCAAGCCAAAACGTAAGACTGGAGATTCCGTTAAGTTATTAACGATGCTGTATCACTTAGAAAATTATGTACTGGAAATGAGATCAGTGGACGACAACATACGCTAACACTGGAAAACAAACTTACTCCAATCAGACATGGGACAAAACAGTCGTGGTGCTTTACAAAGCGGTTCTGCGTTTTCTTGGAGGAAAAGAATACCCTAGGGTACTGGAAACCTGTCACATGCAAGTGTAAGATACTATTGCCGTGCCGAACAGTATTCAATGAAAGGGGCTTTTAATATATAAGACCTTGACGTTCTCTTACAAGGTTATGTACTGAACGGATCTAAGAAATCTTCGCATACTGCGCAGGGTTCTGACTCGACATGAGTTATGGTATTTATTATAACCCGTTACATAACTTTGTACACTCCCTTTCGTAATTCTCAGTTAACATCATATGGTTCCAGCAAATTTTTGGTTAGGTACAGCAGGATTCTGTGCTATTCATAGGTGCAGACTGTACATCTCTACAAACAGATGACGTCGATTGAAGCTGACCTTGGTGTGTTTACGTTTCTGTCACGTCTGGATCGGGCGAACTGCGATGTGAGCTGGGTACAGTGATTAACGAATTTGTGTGTCGTTTTCGTACTCCTGTTTTGGTAGTTTGGATAGGCGAAGAACAAAATGACGCCACGACGAAAAGTTCTGGACCTTCTGCAGGTTATTTCTAGTGCTTCGTAAGTAGAACACAATCACGATGATACTTAGAATTATTGGGTTTTTGGACTTTGTCCATCGTCCGGTATTCTAGAAACCAGAAAACACAAAATTTGGAAACTGGATATGTTCCAAAAACCAAGCAAGTATGAGTATTATACACTACTGTCAGAACCCCATAGAATTTAATGACATAATGATAATAAATATATCATGCATAGATCAGTTGAGAATGTGCTAATTGATGGGGAGTCTGTTTTAGAGACTAGGAAATTAGTACCATTTAACAGTTGTGACCCAATTAAAGGTGTTAACTGATAAATTAGGGAATTTCAAAAGGGAATTATTAATATATGCCATGCAGCCAGTGTTCAATGAAGCAAGGAAAATTTGGATAACTGGTCTTCATAGAGTTGACCTGGGCACTTCGCCCAGATGAAAAAGTATTGTCAACACATGATAAAACTGACAAAGAAAACTGTTGAAAGTATAAACTTGATGGTTTGCACCTTCTGTTTCAGATGTTTGGTAGTAACTCTGTTCAACGTTTTTAAGTGTGAAAAGGATGATGATTGAGCTGTAGTGTATTTCGAATTAATGAAAATTATTATGGAATTCTTGGACTTCTTCTGCCTTGACAGATTGGGCTGCCAGGCCTGTTCCCATTCAGAATTAATACTGAAATTTTTAATCTTATAGACAGTCTGTAGGACTCCTTAGATGAGTGAACAGCCAATCACAAGGACAACACAAACAGAATGAACGTAGACAGACTTCCATGCCTTGAGTGGGATTCAAAACCACAATTCCAGTGTTTGAGCAGGCAGAGACATTTTGTGCCTTAGATGGCATGACCACTGTGATTGGGTATTATTCTGGAGTTTTGTTGTGTTATTTTAGGGGAGGGTCACAAAGGAACAATTTAATTTAATTATTTCAGCCTGCATTCAGATGACAGCAGGAAGTTGTTTGATTAAAATGCTGCCAGTTGCTCAGGCTGTACAGCACTGAATGGTGATAAGGTTACTGAATAATGAATTGGCAAAGTGGAAGCGAGAGATAGTGCCTAATCTGAGGTACTGGTACTACTTTCTCATCTTTCACAGGAGATACTTAGGAGACGAGGAATGTGAGTAGGATATTGGTGGGAAAGCCAGAAGGAAAGAGAGCTCTAGGAAGACCAAGACATAGGTGGATGGATAGTATTAAAATAGATCTTAGAGAGATAGGATGGGATGGTATGGACTGGATTGATCTGGCTCAGAATAGGGACCAGTGGAGGGCTCTTGTGAACACAGTAATGAACCTTTGGGTTCCATAAAATGCTGGGAAATTCATGAGTAGCTGCAAAATTGGCGGCTCCTGAAGAAGGGCTCAGCTCAGTGAGTAAGTGAGTAAGCGGTAGTAGTTTCATTGTGGACTGACAAAAGAGCTGCATAATCTTAAGATAGCATAGATATTGTATAGAACTATAAAGTTTATTTTGGACTTTATCCATCATCTGGTATTCATTCATTCATCAGTAATCGGTCAGACGACAGGTCCACAGTCTTTTCCCAAACAGTACCTCCACTTAATGGGATCTTCCATTTTTGGAAAGAGACTACCCAGGAAATGTGATAATTTTTTCATTTGCTTTCCACTCTGGTCACATCATTTGCTCTGTGCATCAAGTGCTCTGATGACACTGCTTCCAGCAGCAGTTTTTGGTGTCTCTTTTCATCTGATTCCTACCCATTGACCTGTCCAGCAAGGGAGGACCTGCCAGTAGTTCCCCTTCTGCTGGTATAGTTCTCAGGGACCTTGGCATACTCAAAGACCCCTCACCATGATAAGGTAGAAACACCAGCCAGGTGGTATATAAGACAAAAAACCATATTTGTAGAGACTATGTATGTCTCTACTAAGTTGGGCCTGTTAGAAAGAGGTAGTCTCAATCACCAGACAAACTCATGTAAATAGAGAGGAGCCTATAAACACTTGACAACAGGTTCAATCATTGGGAGATAATAAAAAATCAAAATAAAAGACAAGCTAAAACTTTTGTGCCAAGCATGCACATGTCAAAAATGTGATAAGACAGTGGTATGGATTAAGTTCCAGGAATTGAGTTAAAAACGAGGGTAAAAACTATAGAGGATGTATAGCTAATTATGTAGATAAAGAATCATGCCACCAGGACGACTTCTCGAAATAATAAACTCCAGGACAAAACTAGCACATGTAGTGGAAGACACTGATTTTCATAAAAACTTTCATTTTGAATTGTTGACCTCTTCATTGATGAGGGGGATCCATGAGGGAGAAATATCCAAACTGGGCTGGCTGATTGGATTAGTTGAACATGCCATGTGAGGTGATTCCTTATACTTTCTGTACCTGCCGTTACTTTCAATCTCCAAGACCCTAGCTTCGTCCCAACCTACCTTCTGGCCCTCTTCATATGCATGCTTGGATTTCTCTAGAAGACCCTGCTTGAGATTATGCCTGTGTTCGCAGATTCGCATGGCCAGTAGTCTGCCTGTTTCACCAATGTAGCTTCTGCCACATTGACAGGGAATGCTATAGACGCACTGTGCCGTCTGTTGAGGATACCTTTTTGGTCTCGTTCTCACGAGCGAAGATCGTAAAGTGTGTTTAGTTTTGAAGATGGTCCTAATGTTATACTGGTTTCTTATGCGCTTAAACTTCTCAGAAATATCCTTGACATACAGGATATAAACCGTGCCAAAAGGCTTTTCCTCTTTTCTCAGATGACTACTACCCTTGGACCTGATAACCGAGTGAATAAAGCCTTGAGAATAACCACTGAGTTGCAGGTCACGTTTCAGGTTGTCAACCTCCATTAACTGGTCTTGCCGGTCTTGGCATATAGTGGTAGCTCTATCATGAAGACTAAAAAATTCCTCTTTTGACATGTGGGAGATGGTTGGAATTGAAATTAAGATATTGGCCAGTGTGGGTAGGTTTCTTGTAAACTTTCGTGGTCAGAGCTGTCCCTCTTTTTATGACCAGAACGTCCAGGAAGGGGATCATTCCCTCCAATTCTATTTCCATAGTAAACTGGATGGCCAGTCTCAGGCTGTTGAGGTGGGTAAGAAAATTCTGTATCCCCTCTGCACCATGAGGCCAGATCACAAATATATCATCCACATAACGGAGCTACAGCGACGGTTTGTCCCGCGCCGAGTCAACAGCCAATTGTTCAGAGTGTTCCATGTAGATGTTACTAACAATGGGAGAAAGGGAACTACCCATTGCCATGCCATTCTTCTGCTGGTAGAATCTGTTGTCCCCTTGAAAGTAGGTGGTCCTCAGGCAGACATCCAGAAGTTCCATGATGGCTTCCACCTTCAGGACAGACCGTTCTGCCAATGTGTTATCGTTTTCAAGCCTACTTCTGATGACCTGAAAGGCTTCATCCACTGGAACGTTGTTGAAGAGATTAACCACATCGAAGCTGGCGAGGGTGTCCTGTCCACAAAGACAGCTGAATAGGTCTATCTTGCCCCATCCACCTGAGGATAGAGACAGATCCAGTCTCCGAAATGTTGTGGTTTTTTGTCTTATATACCAGACGATGGATAGAGTCCAAAATAAACCTTATAGTTCTATACAGCATACACCATCAGAATCCTTTAAAGTCTATTAGCATACATACTGTTTGTGTTGATTGAGGTCTTGAGTGTTTACACTTGAGTGAATGTGAGCAATGTTGCTGGTGTTTCAGAGATACATGCTGCTTCCATCTTCAGGATCAGTGTGTAGGTTGTATGAGTTTCCATATATGTATAGGTTTACTGTATAAAAAGTCACCTGGAGGGAGAGTGACACATGGTGCCCTGTCATGGCCAACAGAGACACTGGACCAGGAAAGTTTTGAAACATTAGAAACAGCCCTTTTACTTTCACAGAATTCACAAGAAGCAAGTTGCTGAGGGTTTTTGGTCCACTCCATGGCCCTTAAAAGGGCTGTTAGTTTCCTTCAGAACTTCCATGGTCCACTCTCCCTATTGGCCAAGATGGGGCATTAGCCCCATGCTTCCTCCCTATGGCTCTTTCAAAACATACAGTAGACCTGTCATATATATATGCAGGAACTTGTGTAGCCAGTATACATAAAACCTGAAGATGGAGGCAACATATACCTCTAAAATGTCAATAATGCTGCCCACATCCACACTGTAAACACCCAAGACCTGAATTAACATCAGCAGTTATCCACACTGAAAGCCTAAAATCAATAAGTGTACCACATTTTCATATACACAATACATGCTTTTTTTTTAATGTTAGTATGACCATGGTCATACTGTGTATTATCGTGCAAATTGTTTGTAGATAATTACTCATGTTGCATTAAAAAGGAAATTGTGTGCCCCAGTGCAAATGCTTTCAACAAAATCCAGAGTATTCTGTAGTATGGAAAAACTAGCATAACTGTTTTATATAAAAAACTGGACAGTCCATAAAGTATGCTATAACATAATATTTTCTTGAGAGGAGTTGATGTAAATAAGGAGTAAACATTATTGATCTTGGTTTGGGTCTTAGGACACTTAGGGGTACACAAAATCATCTTTCACTGTGTTTTAAATTTGCAAATGCAGTTTGAGAACAGGGTGTTGAGGAGAATATTTGGAGCGAAGAGGGATGAAGTGACAGGAGGTTGGAGAAAACTTCATAATGAGGAGCTTCATAACTTGTACTCTTCTCCAAGTATAATTAGAATGATCAAGTCAAGGAGGATGAGGTGGGCAGGTCATGTAGCACGAATGGGTGAGACTAGGAATGCCTATAGGATATTGGTGGGAAAGCCAGAAGGAAGGAGACCACAGGGAAGACCAAGGTGTAGATGGGTGGACAATATTATAATGGATCTTAGAGATATAGGATGGGATGGTATGTATTGGATAGATCTGGCTCAGGATAGGGACCAGTGGAGGGCTCTTGTGAACACGGTGATTAACCTTCGGGTTCCATAAAATGCTGGGAAATTCTTGAGTAGCTGCAGAATTGGCGGCTCCTCCAGAAGGGTTCAGCTCCATGAGTGAGTAAGTAAGTAAGTTCAGGATGTTACTTAATAGGCACAAAGGTACACAGTTTTCATTTTTTTGAGTAGGTACTGATTTTACTCTTGAGTCACAGGATACCTGGGATATATAATCCCACCCTCCAATTGTTTCTTAAATTTAGAATTAATAAAGTTTTGAAACATACAGTGACATCAGAGAATTCAATTTTCATGAATAAATAGTAGGTTGTACCTCAGTACTCCTCCCAAAATGATGTCCCCCTTTGCACTCATTGGACATTCTTTTCACCTCATTTCTTTCTTGAAACATTATATTCGCCTTTTATCACCTCTAAAGGCCACCATATTCCATTGGTTTGCAGTCCTTGTTTTTGTCCTCTTTTTCTATATTTACATCTTGTTTTCCTGTGCATCTTAAGTCTTCTACACTGAAGACATAGGTAGCAGGTTCGCATCTATCTCCCAAAGTACACAGCATCAAATCTTCATTCATGACGGCCTGATATCTTGCATTAAGTGCCTGATTTGGCACCAAGAGTCGCAGAATATGTGTAGGTAACAAAATTTGCTTTCACTGGTTACAAATATAGCTTCATATTTAAAGAAATAGTCACAAAAAGTAAATTATAGTACTATTTGGTGAACTTACTAAACTAACTCCATGGAGATGAGCCCTTCTTGAGAAGCCACCAATTGTGCAGCTACTCAAGAATTTCCCAGCATTTTATGGAACCTGAAAGGTCATTACCGTGTTCACAAGAGCTCTCCACTGGTCCCTATCCTGAGCTAGATCAGTCCAGTCCATACCATCCCATCCTATCTCTCTAAGATCCATTTTAATACTATCCATCCACTTATGTCTTGGTCCTCCTAGTGCTCTCTTTCCTTCTGGCTTTCCCACCAATATCCTATATGCATTCCTCTCCCCCCATTCGTGCTACATGCCTTGTTCATCTCATGCTTCTTGACATGATTGTTCTAATTATACTTGAAGAAGAGTACAAGTTATGAAGCTCCTCATTATGCAGTTTTTTTGTTTGTTTTTTTTTATTGCTAATGGGGTGCGACTAAGTCCGTTGTACTGCGGCCACCTCTGGCCTATTGTACCAGCCCCAGATGACAGTGAGGGTGATTGTGGAGCAATTGGTGGAATGAAGATTGGCAGGGGAAACTGAAGTACTCGGAGAAAACCTGCCCCAGAGCCACTTTGTCCACCACAGATCCCACTTGACCAGACCTGGGATTGAACCAAGGCCGTTGCGATGGGAAGCCAGCGACTAACCGCTTGAGCTATGGCGTGGCCATGCAGTTTTCTTCAGCCTCCCATAACTTCATCTCCCTTTGGTCCAAATATTCTCAGCACCCTGTTTTCAAACACCCTCAGTCTATGTTCCTCTCTTAATGTCAAGAGACCAAGTTTCACACCCATACAGAACCACAGGCAAAATTGTAGTTTTGTATATTCTAATTTTTACATTTTTAAACAGCAGACATGAAGATGAAAGGTTCTGGACTGAATGATAGTAAGCATTACCCAAATTCAGTCCCTTCTTAATTTCCACCTAAATCAAATTTTAATTTGTTACTCTCACTCCCAAATGTTTAAGCTGTGACCTGACAGCAACATATACTTGATTTTCTCTGCGCTTACTTCTAGACCAACCTCCTTACTAGCGCTGTTTGACATAGAACATGGAATCTCAGCTTTTAGCATAAGTTAAACTGGTAGTATGATAGAGGCAATTCAGTCTGTTCCATGCAATCCTGTGATGCAATTGAGTGGTTATCACTTATATTTCATATTTATGAGATCCTGGGTTTGATTCTGGGACCATTGGTGAGTTACCCACAATGCATTCAGCATGGTTTTCCCTCAGTCTGTCCAGCCAAATGCTGGGATAATACAGAGGCCATGACTGCTATATTCCACATCTTTCACAAGTAATTTGTCACAGCCAACTTCCATTTTTTGCTGTATAATCATTTTAAGTGAGAAGGCATCATAAATTAGAAGTGTGATTGGTTTCAGATGCAAATGCCCTGCACATGCTCATCCTGCCACCAGTTTTGGTGTATCAAATATGCTCGATCTTCGATCCCATGCAAGCTCCACTCCTGATGCAAAACCATCGAAAGAGTATGCATTTGAGGTAAGGAGTTAAAGATTATAATGAACTGTGTTGTAACTTCTGCTTTGTGATTCCACATATGGAGAATTTGTAATTTTTCTGGATGGAATTTAAGATTGTAGACTGTAGAAAAAAAAAAGGTATGACAGAATTTATTATGGACTGAAAAATATCAGTCCACAGGGAGAATAATTGATTCCTAGTTCAATAGTGATTTTCTAGCTACGTAGGTTATGGCAGGTGGATGTGTGATTGACGAACATGGAGGAGTATGGGAGGGCATGGTTCTGATCTCTTTTTAAGGGAAATTCTGGAATTTGCATAGAGTGACTGAGGAAATCACAAAAAGCCTCAGTCAGGAGAGCTGACCCCATGGTCAAGATGTGAACCCAGAACTATGATCATTAAAACATGCCATTTCATCAAAATTGAAAGACTCTGTTTTGTGATTCCAAGCAGATCAGTCCTAACATCGGAAATATGATCTTGTTAAAGTTTCTTCATTATGTAATATCCTAGATGACCCATTTGCTTTATCCTTCTAGGAGCCATGTTTTCAAACACTTGCAGTTTATGATTTAAGGTAGTGCATAAATGAAAAGTGACAAATGAAATGAATCTATATTTCATGCGTGTAGATGGCATGTTCAACTATTCGATATGGCCCAGGAGTAACCCAGGAAATTGGAATGGATCTTGTGAATATGAAAGCAAAGAAAGTGTGTGTGATGACAGATCCAAATATTGCAAAGCTTTCTCCACTTAAAACAGCTCTAAATTCTTTAACAAGGGAAGGAGTCAAATATGAAGTCTATGACAAAGTCCGAGTTGAACCAACAGAAGCAAGGTAAGCCTATGAAAGTCTCTGTATATATGGTACTTAAGTAAAACTGGAATGATACAAGGTTCTGACATGTGTCCAAGACACTGGTAACCTTCCAGTCATTTTCACAGAGCTGTGTAACATCAGAGATTCAAATATTTATTTCTGAATAATTTTTATGTTGTGTTTTACTTTATTGAAGATTGATACTCTGGTGCAGAAATTTTGTAATCATTAAAAAATTATATATATGATATCACCCCAAAACAGGGTACAGTGGACACATACAGGACATCTCTCAGTGTTGGACATCAGTGTATGAATAACAGGGCCTATAGTAACAAGTTCCAGGAAGGGAATAATGCATAGTACCTACTTTCTTTGAAGTATTTTAGTCCATCTGACCCATTTCTGTATGTAATTCCCACTTGTAGACTTGTCAGATGGAACTCCAAAGTTTATATCCGTCAGCATGTCTGTAATTGTTAATATATAAAAATGATTCACACTGAATTTGTAGGTTATGCTTATAAAATTTCACATGGTGAGATCAAATCGTTTGTTGTCTTTGTCATACAGAAAGCTGAATACAGATTTTGCATGCTGAAATGTTGTATTAGATTCTAAAAATAAATGCATCTTTACAAAGTGAGATTTGAAGCTCCCATAGCAGAGAATATCAAGATTACAGCCCAGGGATGTGGCATTTGATAGATAAGTACCATGTTTCTGAGGAACCTGCTGCTTTCACATTCACTCTTGTAACCTGAGGATGGTGGAAGCTGGTTCCTCTGTGGGGAAAAATGTGAATAAAGTTAGGTTTGATCAATAATTAAATCAGTCACTGGGATCTGTGACTCTTTTGGTTTATTCATATGCCCAAATAATTATGTGCATGAAATTAACAGACCCCCATGAAGCAGAATACTTAATGAGGAGGTGATAGTCACTGAGCTACTCAAGAAATTCCTTGCCCTTTCTGGAACTGAGGGTGTGTTTGCAAAACATGTTAAGTGGATGTTCTTATGTTAGGAGGATGTGGCCTCCAGATATGGAGGATACAATCACATATATTGAATAAGCAGTTCCAGACAGCTGGTATGGGGCAGTCCTCCAGCTTGATAATTGGATGTGGGCCTAAGAACCGCTCACCACAGAAAACAACTGTGTTTAGAAAGTTACGTGGGACTTTGCACTTGGACAGATTAGATACAGGAGAATGCAATGGAGCAGCAGTGCTGAAACATCACTACGTGAAGCATGCAGAATGGGAGAAGTAGTAAATACGTGGTGTGTTCAATATTTGTGTATGGTATCCATTGTTTAGGTCCAGGGTAACTGAGTAAAGCAGCTGACTGCATGCTGAATGACTGGAGTTTGATTCCTAGAAGGGGTAGGGTTTTTTTTATCTTTACCACCACTGTGTTTACACCACCTGCACTCAGTCTCCTCTCCAGTGGTTCCTGAGTGTCTCTTTCCTCAGGGGTAGACCAGTCTCTGGATGAAACTGACCAGTGAGATTGCTGAGATTAAGAATGCACAAGTCTTCAGATTCTGAATTTTTGTTTATTCAGTGATTATTTTTCAACTTCAATGGTCATGCAGCATCTAATAGCAGGGTGATTCATGAGTGATGAATTGGAAAGGATTTGGATAGAAGCTTTCATGGACAATTTTTAGGTGTTATCCCCAGCATTTAACTGGAGTGACTAAGGATAACCATGAAAAACATGTTAGGATAGCTGTTCCATGGCCTAAGTTTAGAATCTTTGACCTTCCAAATATGAAGCAGGCGTGTTAACAGTTCAGCTGGATGTTCGATAAGAATGTATAGAGCTTTACCTCTGTGCCTCTGTACATCCTCATGGTGCTTGGGTACAAAAGAAACTTCACCATTTATCTGTCATGAAGTTTTCTGACAGATGAAAGGCAATGTTTTCTCTGTGCCTCTAAATTACATATTCCTAATAACTTGGGCACCAAAGAGATAAGAAACATGTAAATTAGATGAATGAAGAAATCTGGATGTGTATGAGAGTATGGACATGTTTAACCCCAGAGTAAAACTCTGTATAATAAAGTGTATAAGCTTCTAAACATATATATCTTAACACCGCCGTGAAAGCCTCAAATCTTATATATATCTTAACAGTTTACAGGAAGCTGCTGATTTTGCAAAAGCTGGAAAATTTGATGCATTTGTCGCAGTCGGGGGTGGGTCTGTAATGGACACATGTAAAGCTGCCAACTTGTATTACTCTGATCCAGAAGCTGAATTTCTTGATTATGTTAATCAGCCCATTGGAAAGGGGAAGCCTGTCACATGTGCTCTTAAGCCTTTAATTGCAGGTGAGCAAACATTACAGCAAGAAACTATGTTAATTTAAGAATACCATCTTCTGGGACGTAGCACCGCTGATCTGAATCATTTGTTTCAGTTCCAACAACTTCTGGGACTGGCAGTGAAACAACTGGTGTTAGCATTTTTGACTATGAGCCTCTGAAAGCTAAAACTGGAATTGCAAATCGTGCCATTCGGCCCACTTTGGGCATTGTAGATCCTCTGCACACCCTGTCAATGCCTGAGAGGGTTTGTAGTTATAGTGGGTAAGAAATTTAATGTGATACTATGTTATTGTTTACATTGCGGCAACTATGCTTGTAATCTACCTGATGATGACCTGTAGGATTGAAACATGTTGTAGATGAAACATCTATAGTACATGAGAACTTAGCACACCAACAATCTATGAACATGACAAGAAGTTGTATCTCCAAGACTGCCCCTGTGAATTAAATGAAATACAATTCTCTGTTTGTGTTTCATATTTTAAGGACCTATTCAGCTAACTATTTAATTAACAAAGTCTCTGACAGCAGAATTTATGTATGAACACGATAATACCAAAACTTAACATTGAACATGATTCTGAAACTTAGTGTATTTCAATATGATAAATTTTAGTATTATTGTCCTGTATCCTTCTCAAGCTTCCAAATAGCTGCTGTTCAAGAGATTTTCACTAAAATTTGGTGTATATTTCTTGTTTTTCCCATCTAGTGTCTATATCTGTTTTACTAAATATAAAATCAGAACTGACTAAAATGTGGTTTTGGACATTTAACATGACAGAAAAGTCTTACATTTTAAGAAATGTATCGTTATATAGAAGTTGACTTTTGTAAATGTTACTTTACTGTTAAAGGAAGGATGAACTATGTGTCAGGACTCTAGAAGATTACTAATAATATAACCATTCAGATATAGTGTATTTTGAGTTAAGAAAGAATTATAACCAACTGCCTTTATAGCTAACAGAACCTGAAAATTTCACATTGTTAGTGTGTGAACATCACCCAGAATCAGATGAACCCGTTCCACATTTTCATAATCTTAGGAGGAATCATTTGAATATTATCCTTAGATTTATTTTAGTCATCAAAGGCTGTTTTCTAAAATCTACACGAATCTCTTGTTTCTTTTGTCTCCATATTTAGCCTATTCCTTCTTATATGGTTGCTTCACTGGCATCGGGTGAGCTGTGTAAATAACCGGGTTCCTCATTATGTTAATATTATTCATTTTCCATATAATTTCCATCCATTTTCCTGAGCACTTTTTCAAATTTCTATAGTTCATAAAATGATGAATTAAAAGTTTGAAATTTTGTAGGAGTGAGATATTACCTTCTTTTTTTTTGTCTTCAGAGATTGAAGAATATGATATCTGGTCTGCTTATTACTCTTTGAACTTGAATGTCATAATAATTCCATGCTATCATCAGTCACTTGTCTTCACCTGTCCTGTCTACACGATTTTTTCATTCTTTGTCCTGTGGGGTTATAATTCTATGCTATCTTTGGCCTCTAGTGTTTACACATCTGGTTGACATACTATCTTTACACTGTGAGATCTCTTCACCTACATTATCAACCGCAGGTTCTCACATAATTCATTATTTCTTCCTTTTATTTTTTTTTATTCAACGAGGACTGTAAAGTTCTCATTCCTCTTCAAGTTTTTGATGTTGTAAATTAGGACAGTGAGAATGATGTGAGTATTAACATTGTGTGGGTAAATGTCTTATTTTGTGATAGTGTAAGAGTATAAGCTGCATATAGAAGCATATTCACATGTTTTATTGTAATACAACTTTGTGTTATTTCTGTAGGTTTGATGTGTTGTGTCATGCACTCGAGTCCTATACAGCCATTCCGTTCTCAGAACGTACACCCCGCCCTTCAGATCCTATCTTGCGTCCTGCATACCAAGGACAGAATCCAATCTCTGATGTGTGGGCCAAATATGCGCTTCAGATAATGAGAAAATATTTTGAAAGGTAAGTGCATGTTTTTCATTGACAGTTCTAATTTGAAATGTTAGCACATTACAAAGTCTGTTGGTAAACATGATGGTAGGAAAAATATCAGTGGTGCTTTGAAGACTTCATTTTTGTTTAGTGTCTGACTAGGTCTTGTATAGTTATGCAATTGAAATGCTTAAAACATGCATAAGAAGTGACTGAATTAACTTAATGGTACAAGCTCTTCCCCGGGCAGTTGATAGTTACTCAGTTAAGGTATCTCCTGCTTTTATGGACTCTGAAGATTCTGCTCTTTGGATTATCTAGAAACAGTCCAGCATACAGAGGCTTTATCTCCAAGTCTCACATGGAAACACACAATCGAGGCTTTTCTTTCTAGTAACAAGTTGAACCACAAATGAAATAATTTAATTGCGTTGGGGAAATTCTTACATTGAAATCAGAAAATAATAGAATTCACTTGTTGGAAACCCATACATGAACTATGTATCCATTCCTCTAGAGATTGTTACTGGAATGAATGTTACAGATACTAATTGTTATCTGTGAAGCAGAGATGATCACATGGTGAGAACAGGGTCCTGAGGAGAATATTTTGAACTAAATAAGAGGAAGTAAGAAGAAGTGAAGAAAAGTTAATAGTAAGGAGCTTCATATTTTGCATTCTTCATTAAATGTTATTTAAGTGATCAAATCAAGAAGAATGAGTTGGATGGGACGTGTAACATCTACGATAGGAAATGCATACCAAACTCAGTTGGAAAATCTGAAGGGAAGTTATTTAGGAGACAAAGGTAAAGGTAAAAAGGTAAATTTATCCCTGTGCTTAACTAATTAAGCACTACGCCACGAAGACGTATGGGGGAGTGGATATATAGATCCACGTTTTCTTGACCTCTGTACCAGTTGAAGGTGAGTGGTCAACTTCATGGTCTGGCCACTTTACCCCCAGTGCCCATTGGATAGGAGGCTGGGTTTGCCCCAGAACTGGTCTGGAAGACATGGAGAAGAGAAAGTTCTTGACCTTACTGGGATTTGAACTCTAACCTCTCACTCCATTCCATAGCCAGTCACTATACTGACTGAGCTATCCCAGTTCCTTTGGAGACAGAGGTATGGAATGAAATGAAGATAGATTTTAAAGAAATAGGACTTCAGAATGTGCATGGGATTCACAGTAGACGAGGATAGTAGTGTCCAGTGGTGTCCTGAGTCGATCATGGTAATAAAATTTAAACTTCCTTGGCAGAAATATCTTGAATAACTGAGGAACTATCAGTTTCTTAAGAAATTCTGTGCTCCAAGTAAGTTGCTTACTGTCTGTCTAGAGTAAATAATTTACTCAACCTTGAAACCATAGTGTTAATTGCCTTCCTAGCAATATTGTCATCACTAGTAACTTCAAATCATTTGAGCATTATACTTGATAGATAGTTCCGACATGCCATTCCAAGTGATCTGGATGTAATGAATTAATCTTTTGTGTTCCTGTTTTGGGACTGATAATTTCATATGTAGGATTTAAGGTTCTCATGGCAGTGATTATGAAAAGTTGTAGCTTCTGGGATATAACACTGTGTAGTCTGTTGAAAGTCAACTGACATGTCACCTTCATCATCAGGGTCAGAGACCGAACCAAGGAAGAAACCAATGTGAAAGCAACTCTGGTTTCCACCTGCTTTCATGCTGGTTTCTTGCTTGGCTTATTCTCTGGCTAGGAAGATGGAGGCAGTATGTTCCTGCAAAATGTCAGTTGAGTTTAGTGGGCTCCATGGTGTTATATCCCAGAAGACAGAACTCATGATAATTTTGTATGTTTGTCATGGTAACACTGCACTGTGAATAATTTATCGACCTTAGCTGTCATCTTTGACAATAGAATTTTTCCTCAGCTGGTGTCTGTGTTATTCCTTGTAAGATGATTTTAAGGATGAGACAACACTGGTGATACAGAACTGGCAGTCATACAGTGGTTTTTTATTCTGATTTTAGACTGCTCATGCTCACTAGGTGGGGTCACACAGTAGCGTAGTTGGTTCAGACAAGCCAGAAGGTCGCAGGATCGAATCCCGATGAGGTGGATTTTTTCAATTTACCTAATCCTTCCAGCCGCACTATGGCCCTGGGGTCAACTCAGCCTGTAACAGAAATGAGTACCAGGAATATTCTTGGGGGTAAAGGGCGGCTGGTGACTAAGGCTGACAACCTTGCTGCCATCCATGAGCCAATTGTCTAGAAAATGTGGGAACCTCAGGATCTCACAACCCTATGGGCCTTCATGGCCTGTTACAGGGATACCTTTACTTTTTACTTACTTACATGCTCACTATCATATAGGCCACACCATAGCTCAAGTGGTTAGTCGCTGGCTTCTCACCATGGTGGCCCAGGTCTGGTCAAGTGGGATTTGTGGTGGACAAAGTGGTGTTGGGGCAGGTTTTCTCAGAGTACTTCGGTTTCCCCTGCCAATCTTCATTCCACCAATTGCTCCACAATCACCCTCATCTATAATCTGGGGCTGGTGCAGTAGGCCAGAATTGGCAGCAGTACAAGGGACTTAGTCCCACCCCACTAGCAAAAAAAAAAAAAACATGCTCACTAGGTACATACTCTTCAAGGTCAGGTCGAGTCTTTACTTGTAGTTAGATGCTTGCAGATGACCATTGTGCTTTTGGAAACTACTCCCTTTTTCAGCAGTGACATGGTGGATGGGCAAATGTGTGACCTGGAAACACTAGTGCCATTCGCTGGAGGGTCTTTGATGCTGTATAGTCTGACTTGTTATAAACACCATTAAATAAGCCTACATAAGTAACAAACAAATCATAGGATCTTGAAATACTGCACCATGACAGATTCTTTTGAAATCTGAGAAAAGCAATGCAGAAATGGAAGATAATCTTGTGAAATATACACAGTGACTTTGTTATAAATGGATTTAATAGGAAGTATGAGTGGTGTTATCAAAACCTATAGCCTCTAAATGCACCATAATAATATTATTACATTATAATATTTTGATTATTAATTTTAAGCTGTTTATTCATAATACTGTACATTTTCAGAGCTGTGTACCGACCAGATGATGTTGAGGCTCGATCCAGCATGCATCTGGCGTCCACAATGGCTGGAGTTGGATTTGGTAATGCAGGGGTACATCTTTGTCATGGCATGTCTTATCCCATATCAGGCAATGTGCGATCATTTCAGCCTAAAGGATACAGGTAAGATATGTGTTAAATGGAGTGAATATTCCAGAGTCATAAGGTAGTGAATTATATAAAGATATTAATTCATTCTGTAAGTTTCTGTCCAAGTAGAAATAACTGAAAGTAGAACAGATCCTTTGGTCAAATATTATGTCAAAATACATGTGGTAAATTCAGAACATAATGAATCTTTTCTTCAACACCCACTGTCAATATTTGGAAAATGAAACATCAACAAGACCATGTACTGTATGGTTACAGCACCAGCTCTACAAGCTGGGGAAAGGTTGACATAGTTTAGCTATGGGCAGGAGAACAGTCATGCAGAAATTGGATAGTATACTGTTCTCATGGGAAAAATTTGAAGTCTATTATATGGAATAATGAATTGATGTCTCTACTCAGGTATGCAGGGTGAGCACAGATGATCTTGACAATTTCAGAAATTTGGTGTGCAATTATCAGGCAGGAAAATACATCTGAACTTTCAGACATAGGATTACAACTGTCAGAGTTCTGAACCAAAGTGTGCACATTTGGTTGTAGTGGTTTGCTGGCAGTCAGGTAAATGGCGACATCCACAATTTTTCAAAACCTCGAAGGGACTTTGTAGAAGCACTGTATTATCCTCTCAGCTGCACCAAGTCTCTGAAGTAGTCTTATCCATTCAGGTTTTGAAACTAAAATTTGGTACATATATTGCCACCTCCCATGTTAGCTACATGAAGCTCCTCATTATGTAACTTCCTCCGTATTCCTAACATTTCAAGCCAAATTTATTCACTTACTCATGGTGAAAGGTCTTCTGTGAAAATCTGACAAGTCATTCAGCTGATCAAGAAATTTTTAGCCTTTTATGGAACACAGAGGCTCAATGCCATGTACACAAGAATCTACTGTTATCTCCTTCCTACATGAATCCAGTGTATTCTCACACTGTATTTCTTCATAATCTGTTTTAGTACTGTACTTCTATCCATGCCTAGGCTTTCCAAGTGATCTTCCTTCACATTTCCCAATCAAAATTTCTTATATTTCTCATATTCCCAATTTACCTGATCTTTCATATCAATGTTAAATATTAAATTTTTGCCTATGTTGGCATGAGTATTTTTTTCTTCAGGTACAGTTTCTTCTGTAACACATGTTGACACAAAAAGGTATTGATCCTGTGAGTGATGTGGCCATTTCAATCTTATTGAACATTGCAGTGATGACCACCCAATCATACCTCATGGTTTGTCAGTGGTCATGAGTTCTCCAGCTGTCTTCTCTTTCACTGGTCCAGCATGCCCTGAGCGCCACCTGGAAGCAGCAGAGCTCCTAGGCAAAGATGTCCGCAATGCTAAGAAGGCAGACGCAGGTATACTGAGCCTGTTTATTTCCTTTGACTTCCATACTGCATGTCTGAGCGTGTTTAAGCACGCCTCCCTTGTAATATGACAAACATGACACACTTTAGACTGTATCCCACTTTTCTTATATCGTTTTTTAAGTATCTTCATCGTTGTACAAGATTGTAATATTTTAACAGGCCTATATTCTTCTGTATCCACATCAGATTCAAAAACAATAGTAGGTGTGCAGGCTGTTTGGTTGACAAATACGTAAATATCATATTAACCCTTTCACTGCTAGTATGTTAAGCAACTCTCAGTGCCCTCTGTGCTGAATTATTTTTTAATAAATCTTTTATAAATAATTTAAGTCCAAAGTATGAAAATTTGTGAAGAAATGTAACTAATCCTACCTCAGACAGGGAATAGGCATCAGAGGTTGCAAAAAAGTTGAATTATTCAGTATTTTTCACAAGGGAAAAGTCCATTTAAATTGGGGTTGTCCAAGATGGTCAAAAAAGTACATAATTCACTATCCTAGTCTTATCACTATGTCACATTTTGACCAAAGTCCACAACTTTATTTAAAACTATTATAGAAAGCACCACGCACTATATGAAACCATTCTTACTAGCCCTGTGAAATACCCACAACCTTTTATGTTTCTAAGCTAGAGGGCAGAAGAATGCAGCCATTGAAATGAATGATGCTTCATTATGTTCCCAGTAGATGACTATGCACCTGCCAAGTTTGAATGAGACTGGTGCAAAGAAACCTGAGATTTGAAACTATAAATACGGGTTTTGTCGATCACAGCAAGGACACCATGTTTTTCAGAGATTGACATATGTCGACCACAGCAGTGTAAGGGTTAAGGAGGAAAGTTAAATTAGATTAAGTGATAGATACAGACAAGTAGACAGACATACATTAAATCCATTCATTGGATATTTAATAATGCTGTTTCAAATGCTGATGAGGTGGAAGGTGATTGTGAATGTGAGTGGGTAGGTATTTGCAAGGGGATGGCTGTGTTTCCTGGGCCAGTCTGCTTTTGTGTGGAGATACAAGATACTACAAGGAACCTCACACGATAGCTGGTAACCTGGCTGTGATTCAAACTGGATACTCCCCAAATATTCATAAAGTGTTACCACTACACCAACCTGCTTGGTGATACACAAGGATCAGTTGGATTACATACACAGATGTGCAGTGTTTTTTCCATTCCTATGTTTGTGGCTTTTAAAACGAAAAATTTACCTCATAGGTCTGATTCTGGCAGACACAGTTCGTGGCTACATGAATATCATGAAGGTAGAGAATGGCCTCAGTGCTCTAGGATACACCAAAGCTGATATTCCGAATCTTGTCAAGGGAACCCTGCCACAGGTAAGATTAACAGCCATCTACTGTGAGAGTGTATTGTTAAATTTACAAAGCCTGTTTGGGTCATTAATGTAAGGAGATGAACCAGGTATCTGGCATGTGCAAAGCAACTGAAATTAATATTTTATGCATAAATTTATGCAGAGAGGAGGATAATGTTAACAGTTCCATAGGATATACTGAAGGAACTGCAAAAGCTACATCAACAGGGAAAACTGTATGCTGAGCATGTATTTTGGAAAAGAAGTGACAGCATGTTATTGTTAGACATTGATCAGATGTGGCAGGTTTGACAAAGCACCAGTAAATGACCTGTCTCAGATAGTGAAGAAGAAAAGCAAAAATAAAGATATTATGTTTTTGGACATTATCCATCATACTGTTTTTATCTAAAATTCTGTCATGTGTATATTTCAAAAAACAACATTTCAGAGACTGCATTCTCTCCATCTTCATGTAAAACCTACTCAGTTAGGACCAGTCGATAGAGCTGGTCCAGAGATAGGGCCTAGCTCTGTCAATTGGGCCCAACTGAGTAGGTTTTACCTGAAGACAGAGACAGAATCCAGTCTCCGAAATGTTGTGTTTTGAAATATTGTGACATGTTGATCCCTACCGCCCCAGCTCCACGTAGCGGTAACTTAGCGCTCGCGTAATAGGCGAGTAATCACCCCGCAATGCGCAACGCGCGGTGACGTCACGAGCGGAGCCGAAGAGAGCCGAGCGGAGCCGAAGATAGCCGAGCCCCCGTAACCTGGTAACTATGCAATGCTAATCAACAGCGGTGACGTCACACTAGCAACAGCGTCCTAGGCTATACGCCACGTCACACTAGCAACAGCGCAAGGCTATATAAGTGGACTCCACAGCAGCTACCAGTTCAGTTGAAACATAGCAGCCTGCGAGTGTGCGATAACTAAGAAGTCAGCGAGCGGAAGACTTATTGTGTGCTTTCCAGACATAGTGATTGCTGTAGTACAGTTATACTCGGAGTGTGTATTTCAGGGAGACTTGTATAGCTCCCGCGTTATCAGTACGTGAAGACAAGTGAAGATTGTGTTAAGAGATTTTGTTGTAGGGTTTGTAAAGTGTGGAAACCCGTAATATTGTGATCATTAATTATAGCCGTTATTTGTAGATTGTTAAATAAACCCAATTAACCATCTCTACGGCGTCTACCGTAACGTAAACACGTTACAACATAAACAGGACGGTGTTTAGATAGTCAGTATGATGGATAATGTCCAGAAACATAATATTTGTACTAATATACCATCGTCAGACTTTTAGTTATTATTTAAAGGCTAGAATAGACTAGAAAGAACATATTGTAGTAATATAGCAGGCTCAGGAAAGAATCCAATTATACAGTTGCAAACATCTGACGTATTCATTGATATCAGGAACTTCTATCAATTTTTACCATTTATTTTCCCCCATAGAAATTACATTTATCTCTTTATTTAGCCATAAATTTCTTAATCAGGTTTTCGGGTAGGAGTGTGAATTTTTAAGTTTCTGAATCGGTAACAGTGCATTATGACATTAGGTGTATTAACAGCATCTTTCTTTAATGTTTGCATCCTTTTGTGTATTACGTACTATATACTACTATTATACAACCATCAACACAACAGACTCACAATAAACAAATCAATATTATTGTATTGGTATTTATTTATCACGTACATTTGCTACATGTTTTGATCCAGCTGGATCAACATCAGGCAAATATTAATGTATTGAATTTTACAGCAGATTCTGTTGGTAAGCAGTATAAATGTTGCCAATAAGAGGCATGTTTGCAGTTTCTTGTTACAAGGATAGCAAGATTGTGATGAAATTAGCACCAAATGAGTTGACAATTTGGACTATTTTATCTATAATATGAAACATATTTGCATTGCTGTTTCTGAAAATGCTTAACTAGATTAAATTGCATGACTTAGTGTCAGAAAATGGTGCACTTGGTTATACAGCGCAACGGGAAGTGGGGGTCATGATACTTACAAATGTACTGTAGAGAAGTGAGTCAAGTATTGTCATAACACTGTCCGAGGAAAATGCCATTGAATTTCTGTGTAACTGAAGAGTGCAATTGCCTATTGATGAATAAAAAACTTCTCACATCTTTCCTATGGCATATATTTAAGGGATGCAGTATCAGAATCCACCATCTTTTGGTTATACTTTATAAACTGTTCATTTTAAATCTGCCGGATGTTTAGAAAGGCTATATGCAACAATGAGTTTGTGCCATCCCTTGTTCTCATTCTCAGAAACTAGCAAGTTAATATACGAGTATAAGGCATATTTTTTATGAATTTATAATTACCAGACATGGAAATGAAATTTTATACAAACTGTAAAAATTCTCAATACCAACCTTAAAATCTGGATGGTTACTTCACCTGATACCTGTAAGCCCATGTATGGCATGAAGACAGAAATTTATGCATATGTCTGCACTGAAAATTTCATAAACTTGTCTCAGTAAATGAACTAGTAACAGTTTGGGGTCAAACTAAGGGATGTCACATGTAAATATATCAGGCACTAGTAGGAAAAGGAATTTCTTACTCACAAGGTCATAAGAAACCCCTTTCTACAGTTAATCTTTATGTTTTGAACATTCATATTTCCTTTATCACTGCCATAGTTTTTAATTTCTGTGACCAGTGGGTAGTTAAATATAGCTATCAGAAGTGTCAGATATGATCAGTCTAATCATTGCTGACATTTATGATGTTCCCCCTCCTTTTACAGTTGAGCTAACTGATTTTAGCAATGTGAGTGGTTAATGCAGTACCAGTGTTGTGATTTACCAGTACAACTAATATCATATTTATGTTCCAGCATCGTATTACAAAGCTTGCCCCAAGAGAGCAGTCAGAAGAGGATCTTTCGAACCTGTTTGAGAAGTCTCTTACTGTTTTCTAATGATTCATTTGTTATCAACATGAAATGTTAAAACTCTGGGTGTACCTGCTGGCAGCTGTTATCATTCCACTGTTTTGCTTGTCTAGAAGTACAAAAATAATTCATTTATAAAGTATTGAATTGGGAAGAATTTTATGTTTTACATGTAGTAGAATGTCCTGTTTCCTTCTGGTGTTCATGTAAAGCAGAACAATGCTTCTATCACAGGTTTCTCCACTCGATAGTACAGGATCAACACACGTCATACACTAGATGGCTGAAAATTTTTGAATAGTAGCAAGTATCCTGACAGTAACATCCTTTGTGCAAAATACTTTTAATACATTAGGCATGAAAAAGGAAATTTAATTGTATCAGGTTTTGCTGTCACACATGCGATAATGGCTAAGGCCCTGGTGTTTAAGTGAACAATGTCAACATCAAAGTATAGTATCCACATTTGAAAATTTGTATTAATTTAAATAAAAATGTTGGGTGCATGCAATAGTGTAGTTGGTTGAGGCACTATGCTACAAGCTGTAAGGTCACAGGTTTGATTCCTGATGAGGTAATTTGATTTTTCAATTTACCTAATCCTTCCAGCAGCACTGTGACCCTGGAGTCGACTCAGCCCCTGACAGAAATGAGTACCAGGAATCTTCCTGGGTGTAAAGGGCAGCTGGCTTGTAAGGCTGACAACCTCAATGTCTCACAAGCTTATGGGCCTCCACAGCCTGTTACAGAGATAACTTTACCTTTAAATAAAAATGTCATGTCCTGTCAAATACTTATACTGTCACAGTAATCATATGAACAGCCATTAGTCATTATTTACAATTTGTGTGCCAGTGCATGATACCTGTACTGGTACCTAGGCCCTGGAATTTAATCGGACATTAAGGCTCTATAATGCTTTTCATTAGATTTCTAAATGTTTACAGATTTTGAATAAACATTTCTATTATATAATAAAAAAATTTAAATGTGACAGTTTAAAAAATGTCTGTCCTGTTAAGTATCAGCATAATCAGAATCACATTAACTGCAACTAGACACTATTTAGAATTTAAGTCCTGTCACTTAAGCATGTATTTACATTATAAAAAATGCTATATGATATTTGTGCTGCCTGGTCAAGGCTGTTGCAAACCTCAGGGAGCAGTGATGCATATGGTGGAATGATGATTGGTAGGGGAAAGAGGAACTTGGAGAGTAACCTCCTTCAGTGCTACTTCATCCATCACAAGTTTTAAAAATAGTTTGTTGAAAAAAAGTGAAACCCAAGTTTATACTTGCCAGTCTGCGTACATATTCATACAGGTTTCCATGTTGTACACAGCTTGAATATGGGCTGCAGATATCCCTAACATCTCTTTCTGGTATTTTAAAATCGATTTTGGATTTCAGCTGTAATGACTTTGCCATTATATTTAGTGGAAAATATTGTAATGGGTGTATTTTGTTTAATAAAATGCTTTATTTTTTCATGTTATGGTTGGCAAGACCCAAACATGTTTGCTTATCAGCCAATTATCACTGGGATAAGAGAACCTTGTTGACTACAGTTTCATGTCCATTGTCTGGGGTGTATTCAAAATATGCAGCATTTCAGAAACTGGATCTGTTCTGTCGTCAGGTGTAGAGGAGCCTACTTAGCTTGTCTGTTAGGAGCCTGTCTGGTGATGACTGACATGACTTCTCTGAGTGGGCTCAACTGAGTAGCCTCCTTCTGTTCCTTACACCTGATGATGGAAACACACCCAGTTTCCAGACTGTTGTGCATTGTAAATATACCTCAGACAATGGCCAGTTTCCACCATAATATTTATACAACTGTCAGAAACCTTTAGAGAATAACAGTGAAGTCTTGTTGGCCAATTCAGACACATTCAGAGTGAAGCAACAATGTGCAGGGCCATCATGAGAAGGGTGACCTTAACTAGTTCTGTGCAAATGAGAACTGGATTGATTATCATAGTTTACTTGTAATGAGGTTGGGGGATTTTATTTGTGTGGCGCTGGCCAATGTGTGTCACTCATTACATCAGCCCGTGATGGTGACACAATCCACAAAACATCCATGACATATGTCATGACTTCCCTGCTCACAAATCCCTTCACACTACCATAACTGCAAATGTCATGCGAAAACCTCTCTTAACATTGTTCTTCCCTTCTGTGAGTAAATATTCGTGAAACTCATTCTGCATTCCTCATTTTTTACTGTAAAGGACATGATGAGATGAGACCTGTGCTACCACCATAACACCATAGGCACAGGAACTAAAATATTGTGGAGCCCATCCAAGTATGTTAACTTACTTGAACATAATTTTATTAGGTTAGAAAATAGTTACGGGTTAATGTATGCCTCTACTATAACATGCATTTTTACAGTTAATCAGTTAGTATAATGGCTGCTTCATAACCATTTATATATAACATCAGAAACTTGCATGAATTTCAATCATGGCATTAAGAACAACCCAAAACTTAATGCACTTACAAGATGTGTCAAATATTAGTGAGATTTAAGCTGCATTGTGTGGGTGGGTCCGACATACACTCTACCATGTATGAGCATGTAGCTAATTGTGAGCAGAATGTGGATGGGGCTTGTGAGTGTGCAGGTCTTCAGCTTGTAAAGCATGGCCTGACAGTTGTGCGTAAAAAAGTAAAGTTCTCCCTGTGTCTAATTAATTACACACTATGCCATGAAAACATATGGGGGAGTGGAGGTATAGCTCCACCATTCTTGACCTCAGCACTAGGTGGAGGTGAGTGGCCAGCTTCATACCTTGGCTACTTAACACCTGGGTATATGGCCCTTGGTACCCATTGGATAGGAGGCTGGATGAGCCCCAGAGCTGGTCTGGACATTGTGGAGAAGAAGAATCTTGCCCCTGCCGGGATTCGAACTCTGGCTATCCAGCCTGTAGCCTATCACTCAACCAACTGAGCCGTCAGTAAGTAAAATAATTATTAATTTAAGAAATATTGTCACACCCAAATTATCATTATCATCTATTATCAAAGGGACTATTTCCATGTCCCTGGTTTCTTACCTGTATGGATATATGGAAACTAAAGGAAATGAATGAATGAATCATTCAAACCTTAATGCTATATCGTATTATACATAATTGCATGTAAGGGGATCATATTTCAAACATTTTTGGATATTGCAGGAAGGCCTATCTGTTAAAACAAGCATTTTTTTTTGGATGGGGGGGAGATTTTATAAACACTCATAATATCGAGGTTCACTGTAATTAACATTTAATAGTTCTCTATCATTTCACTCTTTAATACACAGTTTTAAAACTCTTATATTATCTTTTTCCAGAAATGCCAGTACCTTTCATTTACCAATGATTTTCGTATTATATTGTTTAATTATTTCTTTTTACTTACGTATGTATCTCTGTTGATCTTCATTGTAAAAAAAAATACTCAATTACTACAAACTATGCAAGTTCGTCTATACATATACTCCCCATTATCTATGCTAATGACTGGAAAGAGATGCATGACTAGCAGAAATACATGGATAATCAGAGACATGACGGGACTCTGAAAGGTATGCAAACATCTGATTTGTAGTAAAAACTGCAGACTTAAAAAAAAGTGCTGAACATAAAATGTTTCATTTTATCTATGACGTTTTTTCTGTGATGTACATTTTGTTAGTAATGCTCAAGATACACACACAAACACACATTGGCTTTCATATATAGTGGTCATTAAAACTGTCCAGTATAAATGAAAACCAAAATTGTATTGCATGAGTGGTTGTCCACTTGTCTCATGCATATAGACAGATGTACTGAGCAAACTTAGTAGGCATTCTGCAGGGTTCCAAATATACCTAAGAACACATATGGATCAACCACAAACCAGATAATTGGGAATATACTGTACCTATCTCTCTCTCTCTCTCTCTCTCTCTCACACACACACATTCTCCCCC